TAGCATAGGTAGGTGTTACCCTTTGAACCTTGCCTTGTGAAGATATGTTTACTCTACTAGCGGTACGGTAGAACGCGATGTCTTTGAACCGACTGCGGTTTGTGTAGACGATGACATATCCCACACAAGAACCTTCCAACCTTTGTTCTGTTCTCATGAGTGTGCCCATTTTGGTTATGGGTCAACGTTCCTGGTTCTACAAGAGTTTCTAATGAATTGAGCCCATCAATTCTCCTTTGAAGCGACTCTCACTTCTCTCTCACATAGGTGATTCTATTCTTTTCCAAGTATCCTGCATACTCACACATGTCAATCAACATTCGAATCATTAAAGAATCAACGTGCTAACCTCGTACGGGAGTCACTGTTCTAACAAGGAGCGGTAGGGAGTCCGAGACCTCCACAGTGACATGCTTCGTTCCATAATTTAGTTGTCTCATTGAACCTTGGTGCCATCTAGGTTGGCGGTCTACTATAAAACTTTTATACCAAGAACTTTAGTCACATTTATCGTTTCAATTTCTCTAACACCAGGTTAGCGGGCCCCTACATTATCCTTTGACCTTGCATAGTCAATAGAAATAACACCAGTTGTAAAAAATTGTTTTAAATGCTATTATGTCTACAATATAATATATAAGTCTAGACTTACCATTGTAAATCTTAACTCTGTACTCAATCAATTTTGGCTAGACTATCGCAATGCACACAAATTGGAGGTACGAGTTTTCCTCAACTAGGAATATCCTCGAGAAAATGGCGTATCCATTCAGCCTATTCGCATGACATGTATAAGGCAATCAGCTTAGATTCCATCGTGAATCTAGCAACCACAGATTGTTTCGAGGATTTCCACACAATCGACTACACTAGATTACGTGACCACGTAGCCACTCATAGACTTAGGGTCCTAAAATTTTGATATTCGGCTAACGTGTTATACTCTTCAAGTAAAGCTGGACCACGTAGTCTTGCTTTAATTGTCTTGATGAGATCTTTTAAGTGATATAATTTATTATTAATAATATAAATTTATGTTTAAATATTTAACTATATATATATATATATATATATATATATATATATATATATATATATATATATATATATATATATATTGATGGGGATATTGGGTATGGGCTGGAGACCAGGTAGGTTGGGCCGGGGGTACAGGGGGGGTTTTTGGGCCGGGGCAGGACGCCTTGGGGTGGCCGGAATGACCGCCGACTAGGGCTCTGGCCCTGGCCGGCGACGGCGCGCCAGGCGCGGCCCTAGTGCCCCCGCCCGAGGACGCGGGGTAGTGGCCGCCGGCGCCCACGGCCGGAAGGACGGCGCTGGGCGCGTGCCTAGCGCCCCTGCGTGAGGACGCGGGTGCGGTGGCCGCCGGCGCCCACGGCCAAGGCGGGTCGCGGGCCTAGCGCCCCCGCGCGTGGACGCGGGGCGGTGGCCGCCGGCGCCCATGGCCAGGGCGGGTCGCGGCGTGGGTGCTGGCCCCAGCCGGCAACGCCGCACCTAGCGCCCGGCGTCCCCACCACGGGTGGCGCCGCCTACGGGGCCTTGGCGGGTCGCCCGGGGTGCGGGGGTGCGTGCGCGGGGTGTGCAGGGTGCGTGTAAGGGGCACGGGAATTTCGGAAGCATGGTGAACGTGCGGATTGGCATACGGAAAAGGAGGGAGTGGTGACTAAAACACGTGGGGCACGTGGAGGCCTAGGAGGGGAAGGGGCAGGCTATATATAGGGGTCCCAGATCCTTAGCTAAGGGCAAGTCAAACATGATAGGCACTACGGTCTAGTGGTCTTGATCTCATACTCTCAATTCCTCAATTCAGTCACCTGGGTTCAATTCCTACCAGTATCATAGTTAGTTATAGCCTATCCTGTGGGCCTTGTTCTTTGTATTTGGACCGCCATTCTGGGCATTTACCTCAGGCCTATCCTGTGGGCCTTGTTCTTTGTATTTGGACCGCCATTCTGGGCATGTACCTCGGGCTTTTGTATGCATTGTTCTGGGCCTAGCGTCGTACTCCCGTTTTGTATCTCTGTACCCGGTTTATGGTGGACCCGGTTCCAATAAAACCATCATATATATATATATATATATATATATATATATATATATATATATATAGATTTAGGTTCTCGTGCGGGTGAGGGCTTCAGGTGCGGTTTAATCCGAGTCATTCATCTCGCTTTAATCAACGTCCAGGATTATCAAAGTTTAAAAAAAAAATGCGGTGGCAATTTTGTAATTTTTGCATCTAGGTCAAAATTAAGGTGAGCGGATCTGTGATTAATGTGCGTGAGTTTTGTGCTTAATGTGCGTGTGTTTTGTGCTTAATGGGCGTGAGGTTTGTGCTTAATGTGCGTGGGGATGTGCTTAACATGAATAGTTGTTAAAACTTAAAGTCTGTGAGTGAATATTTAAAGTGCGTGAGTTTTGTGCTTAATGTGCGTGATGTTTGTGCTTAATGTGCGTGGGTTTTGTACTTAATGTGCGTGAGTTTTGTACTTAATGTCAGTAGTTGTTGAAACTTAAAGTCTGTGAGTTAATATTTAAAGTGTGTGGGTTTTGTACTTAATGTGCGTGAGGTTGTGCTTAATGTGTGTGAGTTTTGTATTTAAAATGCGTGAGTTTGTGATTAAGATCTAACACTTAAGGTGCACCTTAGCTTATACTTCTATGTTCCAGGCACGCGTTTTTTTTTTTTTTTTTAATTTTCATTGATTTGAGCCGTTGATCTAAATTTGATCAACTGCTCAGATTTAACCGCACAACCGCCCGGGAAGCTATACCCGCACCTAAACCCTTCCTTATATATATATATATATATATATATATATATATATATATATATATATATATATATATATATATATATATATATATATATATATATAAAAGTTAGAAAAGAAATTATTTTAAAAAAACAAGGGCAAAACAATAAGGGAAAAATCCCAAAGTTTTGTCATTCATGAATAGTACTGTTTTAGTGTATTTGTTGGAGGCAAATTATGTCAAATCTTTGGCCGATATGTCTTGTTTTTTTTTTTTTTTTGACGACAAATAAATATTCCGTTGCCGGGAATTGAACCCGGGTCTCCTGGGTGAAAGCCAGATATCCTAACCGCTGGACGACAACGGAACTGATCGTTATGCTGTGCATCCGTATGCACCATGCATGGTGCATCCGGATGCAAAAACAACGTCGTTTTGACGTCTAACTTAAAAAAAAAAAAATCAAAATTGCATAATTACATATCCATAATTTCATAACTATACATCCAGAATTACATAACTACACATCCATAATTTCATAACTATAAATCCAAAATTGCATAACTACACCTCCATAACTTCATAACTACACATCCATAACTTCATAACTACACATCCAGAATTGCATAACTATACATCCAGAATTTCATAACTAAAATTCAGAATGAATGTACTAAAAAATGAATAACATAATGTTGTAAATGAGAATCAAAACTATTTTTTTTTTAAGTAGGACGTGCGTTTTGATGCAAAACGACATCGTTTTTGCATCCGTATGCACTGTGGTGCGGAGGCAAATTATGCTATGCGCACGTGCGCACGGCGCTAAAACGGCGTCGTTTTCCGTGAAAACGACGCTGTTTTAACTATAAAAAAAAATTTGTTCGAAACGCCGTTAACGGCGTTAACGGCATATTCGTTATGAAATTATGAATATACAGTTATGACATTATGAATGTACAGTTATAGAATTATGAATGTATAGTTATGGAATTATGAACTTACAATTATGAACATAGAGCTTTGAAAATTATGAATGTTCGGTATGGAATTATGAATATACAGTATGGAATTATGAATGTACAGTTATGGAATTATGAATGTACAGTTATGAAATTATGAACATAGAACTCTGACATTATGAACTTACAATTATGAACATAGAGGTTCGAAAATTATGAATTTACAGTTATTGAATTATGAATGTACAGTTACGGAATTATGAATGTACAGTTATAGAATTATGAATGTACAGTTATGGAATTATGAATGTACAGTTATGAAATTATGAACACAAAGCTGTGAATATATGCTCCTATAACGAAGCGGTCTGAAATTAAATTTAAAAAAAAAAAAAAAAAAAAAAAGAGGGAAGATAACGGTGCCTGACGGCACCGTTACCGTGCCCATGATACACGCTGGGCACGAGCCCACAGCATAACTATCCGCATACGGATGCACAGCATAATTTGCCGTCAATATGTGATTTTTCAATATTAGTTAGAGATAATTTTACAGTTGCAGCCTTGCAGGCCCATATCCAATGGGCATTATAAAATATTTGTATATAAGGATTCAGTAAAATCTGCAAATAAACCCAGGAATTTTGGTCCCATACATACAATACTAAAATCACAATATAAGACCAGCCCACTTACGGGACTTGTGAGCAATCTGCAATTAGCAGAAAACATTGTTCAGCACAACACAATCGAATCGAAGTTACCCAAATCTTGATTCCAATCCCTTCTTAATTAACAAGTGACAAAACATTCAGGTACTTGTTTTTCGCTTTCTCTGTACATATGAGTTTGTGTTTTTGTGTATGCATGACTGTATGGTATATGTACATCTTCTATTTTGATGCTCAGTATTGAATTCTTTCTATGGGTTTAAGGAAGTGAGGGTTTTGTTGTCAAATGTCAAACGAACAGAAAGAACTGAACTTGTAATGGATACTGGGTTCATGTTTGATTCTGGTAGATTGCATCTTTTGTGTAATAATTAGGAATGAAGGGAAGGTTAATCATGCCCAAGAAGATGAAATTATTTGAATATTTGGAAATTGGAAAGCCCCTAATAATGATTGTCTAATCTTAAGCTATTCCATGAGTAAGAGACCAAGAAAGGGTAACTACAAGTTTCCAAATTCGACTCCCAATGAAAGCGGTCTGCTGGTCTTTTTGGTTTAAGCCAGTCAGCTGTGGACAATCTACGCTGGTTTAGCATCTGTTGGTCCTTTGCCGGTTAGGATCACTAGGTAGGGTCTACTCAATACACATTCTCGGATAATGGTTGCGGGTTTCTCTCGTCACTCACTTAAAGAAAGGGTAATTGTGCTAAGGGAGATTGCATTTTTGGAGGTGTTAAATTTGTAGTCTGTTATTGGGCACCTGTTCTTCACACGTCGATTGAATGTGATCTTTATGTGTTAGCCAAAAGCGAGAGGGACAGCGAGTAGAATTTATCAACCACAGAGAGGATTACAATTTCTTCTTTATTGTTTTATGGTGGCGTTGAAGTTTGATTCAGGGAGATTGCGTCTTTTCTGCTAAAACTGAAGGAATGGGTACTTGCATCTAAAATGATTATGTTTTGTGACAGCCCTAATAGTGACCTTTTTAGCTCTGCCCCAGTGCCATTAGTTTGGAGAAGGTACTTGTGTCCTAAAAGATTACATTTTGACTTATCAAATTCTTCGCCTTTCATTGATGAGCACATGTTCTCTACCCGAACCCATCCTAATAGGGTTCGAGAGAGTCGGGTGCCTCTATAAGGCTTCAATCCCAGTTAGCTATTCTCGTTAGCTCGATAAATGGCTCTTGATTGTCTCTCTCTTGGTCTCTAGTGCAGACATTTATTATTTATTATCGTTGTTATTGTTATTGCTGCTGTTGAATTAGGTATGAAGGTGCGATCATCGGTGAAGAAAATGTGTTCTTTCTGCCGCACAATCAGGCGACACGGGGTAGTGTATGTGATATGCTCGGCTAATCCCAAACACAAGCAGCGACAGGGCTTTATAGCATATGCATACGAAGGACCTATATCCACCATGTATGTATTCTTTCTCACCAACTCTCTCCTTTTTGTTTGGAAACATCGGTCCGATCCTATGCTTGTTTTATGCCCCTATTAGCGATAAAGTACTTAGTTAGACACACAAAATTTGAAAGTCTCAACACTATTCGTCAAGTTCCTTTTTAGGTCGAGCATTATTATTCAATTGGACAAGCTATGCTGTTATTTGCTCTTTTAAGGACAACGGGGCAATGCATACTGTCTATAATTGTCACGCTTTATGGAACCGGATTCCATTAACACAGCGAGCTTAAATGCTTAATAGTGTTTTGGTCACATCTCCAGGTCTCTGGTGATAACTCCAAAACAGGAGAAGACGCCTCTCGGCTTTGGTATCAGCAGTAGTTCCTCGCCTTCTCTTATATCCGAAAACGGTGAGGCATCTGTGAATCCATGGCGGAGAAAGGGTATGGCTCCCATTAATCTGCTCAACCCAGCCGCTAAGCAGTCGATTCTGCGAGCATTATAAGCTGGCTACTCCATGTTTATCACACACAAAGATGCCATATATTATGCATTGTCTGAGAGCAGCAGTTGTAACTTACCAACTGGAAAACATCATGTTTAACACTTGTTTTCTGTGATATGTTGGAATCATGATCTGTTATTCATTGCACCTGAAAATTATACATTTAAGCAATATAATTCACGTATTTGTGGCTAACAATCATGTGAATGAGAAAATTTTCAAATTGCCTGTACGGGCTTAGCTCACCGGTTCAATAAGTAGACAATATTGTCAAGATTTACAACCGACATTACATTGTATTGTAGACATTTATAAATGAGTTAATTCCATCGGAGGTCCCTTGTCATTGGTGGCAATTCCAAATTTAGTCTCAGATTATCGTTTTTGCCATTTTACATCCTAGACTATTGTTTTTTGGACACTTTTAGTCATTCTCATGATTTTTTCTATTTGTAGTAAGAACATTTTTATCTCTTCATATTTTTCTTTTGTTATTTTTCCGGTTTCAACTAGTTTAATTGGCTTAAAATTTTAGGTAATCTCTGATTTTTTAGTAACCATATTTTTCAACCAATTTTTAGTAAAGTCCTAAACCAATTAAACTGATTAAAACTAAAAAAATAACAAAAGAAAAAACATGAAGAGACAAAAATGCCCTTACTAAAATAGAAAAAATCATGAGAAGGATTAAAAGTGTCCAAAAAACGATAGTCTGGGATGCAAAATGGCAAAAACAATAGTCTGGGACTAAATTTAGAATTGCCACCAAAGACAAGGGACCTCCAGTGGAATTAACTCTTTATAAATATATACACAATTAACTTGGCCAATTAACTAAAGAGTCTTGGTAACCACAATGTTTCAAGTCCGATTTCATGTGAGAGTTATCTTTTAGCCTTCTTGGTTTGAGCCGGTCAGTTATAGACAACTTAAGCTGGTTTATTTCTTTGTGATCCTTTGTTAGGGTCACAAACTGAGCTTCATCCAGAACACATTTAAATAACGACGGTAAATATTTTCGTAAATTAAAAAGTCTCGCAAAACTTTTCTCTTAATGTCTATGCTATAATATATTTTATGACATTAGTTAGAGGTGGCTACAGATCGATTTAAGGTCGAACCAACACTGAACCCGATCGGGAAAAAATGCAATAGTTATGCTGTGCAACCGAATGCACCATGCGCATGGTGCATACGATGCAAAACGACGTCGTTTTGACTAAAAACGCGCGTCCCACTTAAAAAAAAAAAATCAGGTTCGATTCTCGGCAATAACATTATTGTGGATATATAGTTATGAATTTCTGGATATATAGTTATGAATTTATAGATATTTAGTTCATTCGTTGTGGATATTTAATTCATTCATTGTAGATATTTACTTCATTCATTCACTGTGGATATATAGTTATGAATTTATGGATATATAGTTATGAATTTCTGGATATATAGTTATGAATTTATGGATATATAGTTATGAATTTCTGGATATTTAGTTCAATCATTGTGGATATTTAGTTCAATCATTGTTGATATTTAGTTCATTCATGAGTAAATACTCAAAATGGTTCCTCGACTATAGCTAAATTCACAAATTAGTCATCGACTTTCAATTTCAACCAATTAAGTCCTTAACTTTGTAATTTTGACACGATTTGGTCCTCCATCTATTTGACCGTTTGTTGACTGTGCTTTTTGAGGATATATATGTAATTTCATGGTCCATCGTCAGATTTTTAAGGTTCCGGTTGCATTTCCAGACCGCACTGTTACATTTGAATCCACTGTCGAAAGTAATCTACCAAATTCGGTCGCCTTTCTTCATCCTCCCTTTGGATTCAATGTAGTTGAGTTCATACAAGAGCGAAGAAGATGGCGTGTTTCCGAACCAGTGCAACGTCATCCTAGAGGCCTCCACGTGCTCTGACGAGAGCTGAAGGTTCTTCTAGAGATCGTCGATCACGGTCAACAAACGGTAAAATAGATGAAGGACCAAATCGTGTCAAAATTACAAAGTTAAGGACTTAATTGGTTAAAATTGAAAGTCGATGACCAATTTGTGAATTTAGCTATAGTCGAGGGACCATTTTGGGTATTTACTCTTCATTCATTGTGGATTTTTACTTCATTCATTCACTGTGGATATATAGTTATGAATTTGTGGATATATAGTTATGAATTTATGGGTATATAGTTATGAATTTATGGCTATATAAAAATGCTATTGCCGGGAATCGAACCTGATTTTTTTTTTAAGTGGGACGCGCGTTTTTTTAACCAAAACGACGTCGTTTTGCGTCGTATGCACCAAGCGCATGGTGCATTCGGTTGCACATCATAATTTGCTGAAAAAAAAAGAGCATGGGCCTGGGTCGGGCTTAATTGGGACCAAAACCGACTTGTTAAGGGCTGATTCAGGACCTTTAAAAAAAGCCCAAGGCTTGACACGGGACCAGTTAGGCCAGGCCCGATCACGGCTCGGAACCGACCCAAGCCCGGGTTTTGACCACCTACATCAGTGTATATAAAGAGAGTTTATTTAAAAAAAAAAAAAAAAAACTTAAAAATAATATCGCGTCAAAGAATAGACAACATTAATAACAATTGGAGAGAGAATCGCGTCATCTGTATGTTGGTCGGGTCTATTACGACGTTAGCCAAAATGGACAAGAGAGATTGGTTTGGTTTGTGATCTCTCTTGGATATGAAATTATGAATTGTCACACCAGAATTTATGTATATGGTCCAACAGTATTCAAACAGTATCATATGGGATATTCATGTGGGTTCCAACTTCCAAATGTACAAAACCCAATTGCAAAATAGGAATAAAAAAAAAAAAACGTAAGATGGGGACTACCCTAGAAACAAAAACCAAAATGTTGGTCCGAAAGCGAGTGAATGAGTGATAGAGCATAATTTTCATATTAAAAAAGATTACAAATCTGATAATGATGTATTAGGTATGCATATACGCATCACACTGTGTTTGGAAACGCACAATTAGGTGTGAGAAGGTATGGTGTATTTTTTAAGTGTGTTGTGTGTTTTGTGGTGTATTTATGCATTTTATTGTTGTGCGTTTTCTAATACTATTGGTGCGGCCACATCGACCTCACGTTAAGGCGCGACCGCATTTGAGTTGAGAATATAAAATTTGACTTCGCAGGGCGGAGAGTAAAGAGATGCCAATATTGAGATTTATAAATTGTCCCTTTATTTAATATCAATTTGACGGAATAACAAATGGAGAACTAAATTTAGCAAAAACATAAAAGTCTATGACTAAATTATGTTATCAAAGTTGTTTAGGACAAAATTGAGAAAAACAATATAATCAATGACTACTTTGGATATTAACTCAATTTTAATTTCAAATAAGATTAGGGAGGTCGTAAGCTCAATCATGTGCAAATATAATGCAACTACATACAAGATCCGAGAATGTAGCTGCCTACCATTAGGCAACAAGAAACTTGGGATACTGAAAATGATTGAATATATAGGCCGGTAACATAGCTTATCGTTAATTTTGGTTTATTAATTTGATCACTATTAGCTGTTTGATCACTTGATCAAATAGTCAATAAGAGTGTTTGGTTAATCAACTTTTTGTAATATTACTCCAAAATGTTAAAATTCAAAAAACTACTCAAACATTTTTTTCTATTAGCTTTTTGAGAAAATAAATTATTTTTTTCGAAACACCCCCCAACAAAAAAGAAAAAAAAAAAAAAAAAAAGAGAATGTGTAGACGAATTCAGCAATCCCGTCTGTCAGTCCCATTACTCTCATTGTCTCTTCACAATACTAGGCAACGGAGTGCTTGAGCCCGTTGCCTACTACCATGAAGGTAATTAGCTACGAGACATGTGATTATTACTGATTAGTGTTCACGGGCTTCCTAAAAGCCCGTTAACATATGTTTATTTTTATTTTTAATATAATAATAATAATAATAATAATAATAATAATAATAATAATAACAATAACAATAACAATAACAATAACAATAACAATAACAATAACAATAACAACAATAACAATAATAATAATAATAATAATAATAATAATAATAATAATAATAATAATAATAATAATAATAATAATAATAATAACAACAACAACAACAACAACAACAGCATAATATATATACTCATACAGTCATACCATTCAAGGTCATTTTGCATATAATCAGCTAATTTATCAAATATTTATTTTCAATCAGCTAATGCTATTAGTTAGTCAAACCCACTAATAGCTATCAGCTAAGTTAATCCGCCTTCAGCTAACATCTATTTGCCAAACACCCTCATAATCAATCAATCGATTTATACATATATAAAAGTATGTATAAAGCACAGTTAACAATTATTATTAAGGCTGTGTTTGGAAACCATAGCTATGGTTTTTGGTGTTTGGCTACACCTGGAAAATCCAGTCAATGGAAACATTTTCCGTTGACTGGGGAAAATGTGCTCAATTTGGCGGAAAATGACTTCCGCCATTGCTATTTCAATTTTTTTTAATTTTTTTTTTTTAAGTTACTGGCGGAACTGGTTTCCGCCGAAAACCAAGGCTATGGTTTCGGCGGAATTGGGTTCCGCCGGAAACCATAATTCTTTTTTTTTTTTTTTTTAGTTTTAAAGATTTAAAATATATTTTTTATTCTAAATAAAATAATTAAAATATTTAATTATATCATTCTACTCATTTTTCAGAGAATGAACCAAACACACCAAAACAGTTTTTCAAATGCAACCAAACACTGAAAAAGGAAAATGTTTTCCGGAAAATGACTCATTTTCCAGAAGTCATTTTCCTGCTTTCCAAACGGACCCTAAAGCAATAATAAATTAACAATAATTAAAGAAATTTTCAAAAAACAATAATTAAAGAAAATACTACTCATATTTTCGAAAATATAAACTTCAAAACAGAAAAAAAAAAAAAAAAAAAAAAAAAAAAAAAAAAAAAAAAAGAGAAGAGAGAACGAACACACTCTAAAACTGATAATTAGTTAACGTGCAGGGTAAGAACGTAAACAATAAAATGAAATAATTTCATATATAATTTTTTCATATGAGGATGAAGTTGCTCACTGCATTATATTGCATTATGGACTATACAAACTCGTACATTAAGCT